TTGCTGCAGAAACCTCTTGGAAAACAGATTTTTGTTTAAAATGCTACTTGTCACAGAATATTTTCTGAATTTTACAATGTTAAGCAAATGGTTTAAACCTGTCTGTTCCAAATAATGATCACACTGAATTTGTATTGATATCAGTGTTTTATAATCTATTTTATTAGTGTCTAATTACTTGTATATTAAGTGTCTTCACCCAACTATGTGGTGTTACAAGAGTCAGATGCCTACGATATATCTACACTGCAATAAAAAACCCACAGCACCAAGTCTCAGAACCTGAGTCAGCTGGCTTGGGTTGTGGGGCTTAAAATAGCAATGTAGGCATTCAGGCTTGGGCAGGAACCTGGGCTCTGAGGCCCACTCCTTTACAGGGTCTCACACCCAGTCTTCGGCCTGAGCCTCAATGTCTACATTGCAATTTTATAGCCCCCACAGCCCAAGCCTTGGGAGCCTGAGTCAGCTGACCTGGGCCAGCTGTGGATGTACTTTAGGTCTTTTATTGCAGTGTAGATATACCCTCTAGAGCAGTGGTTCTCAAACTATTTACCATAGTGGGCTGCATTCAATACTACCTGTATGGCCCTGAGGATATCACATGGGCCGCAGTCTGTGCTGATTGGGCTGCAGGTTGAGAACCACTGCCCTAGAGGTAGCAATCGACTCACATGGTATGAATTTAAGCGTGACCTCGCTTCCTGATGCTGTTGCCTAGCTAGTTCCCAGCTGCCACCTCGTCTTTGCAGGGCTGGCCATACTGCTGTACTCCTTCCCTCTTTGAGGTTTGTCTGTCAGTGCATACAGATGAGTTAAAACTCCTCTGACCTCCAACTGAGAGAAGTCTTATTCTCAGAAGAAGGCAGTAAGGAATCTCTTACCTTATAGGTCAGAGGAGTGATACCTTTCTCATTAGTGATTCCAATGCGTTTTATGAACATTTTGAATGAAAGGCTCTTGTCACAAGCATCTGTATGCTGGCTTCTCAATTCTCCGTGCTCCCAAAGTATGTCTTTACACACATAATGAGGAGTTCACATTCTAAATACATACACGTAATGCATAATCAACCTTCACTAGAGTAGTTACTGCCACTCCATAATATGGAGGAATCGACATCCTCTAGGACAGCGGTCACCAACCAGTCAATCGCGATCGACTGGTCCATCCTAGAGCATGTCCCAGTCGATGGTGATCTCTGGTGGTACAGCAGGGCTGCCACTAAGGCAGGCTCCCTGGCCCCAGGCCGCTTCAAGAAGTGGCCAGCATGGCCCCAGGGGGCTCCTGCCTGCAAGCACTGCCCCTGCAGCTCCCATTGGCCGGGAACGGGGAGCTGTGGCCAATGGAGCTGCAGGGGTGGTGCTTGCAGAGGGGGCAGCACACAGAGCCATGTGCCCCCCGCTTCTCCCCCAGGGGCGGCAGGGGCCCATTCTGGGAGTGGCGTGGGGTCAGGGTAGGCAGGGAGCCTGCCTTAGCGGCAGCCAAGCTACACCACCAACCGGGAGCTGCCGGAGATAAGGCCACACCCCAGCCCTGAGCCCACTCCTGCACCCCGAACCCCAGCCCTGACCCCCCTCCCAGAGTCAGCACCCTGTACCCCCTCTTGCACCCCTGCCCCAGCCCTGACCACCCTCTCAGAGGCCACATCCCAAACCCGCTCCTGCACCCCGAACCCCAGCTCTGACCCTCCTCCCAGAGTCAGCACCCTGTACCCCCTCCTGCACCCCAACACTCTGCCCCAGCTCGGAGCCTCCTCCTGCACCCAAACTCCCTCCCAGAACTTGCACCCCTCAACCCCTCCTGCACCCCAACCACCTGCCCCAGGCTCAGCCCAAAGCCCCCTCCCACACTGCGAACCCCTCGGCCTCAGCCCAGAGCCTGCACACACACCCCAAACCTCAACCCAGCCCGATGAAAGTGAGTAGGAGGGTGAGCAGTGGGGGGGAGGCAGATGGAGTGAGTGGGGCTGGGCTTTGGGGAAGGAGCAGGGTAGATTCTGGGTTGCCCTTAAATTCAGAAAGGGATCTTGGGTATAAAAAGGTTGGAGACCACTGCTCTAGGAGGTAGTTGGCAGGGGAATTATGAAAGTGTGTGTGTTGGGGGAAGGAGTGGCAGTGTTCATACACTATACTAAGTGGGACAAGGAAGAGGCTAACTATCTAGATACTTGGCACTTGTTTATTCATGGAGTTTATTCAGGAATAGCTGTTCCTGAATGACTCCCTGTGTAGACAAGCTCTTGTATGACTCTCACCATAGTATCAGAGTTGAAGGCTCTTAGGAGCAGGGATGTGAAAGGGAGGCTGGGAGAGCACACTTCCTCTTTGCAGTCCAGCTGGGGATTGGGGAAGGGGAGAGTTGGGAACCAGTCAGGCCCAGAAATGAGGAACTGAGAAAATTGGCATATTAAGTGTGCAGGAATATACTGCTTATCGGAGACTTTGTAACTCAGGGCTAAGCAGTCCTTGATTTACAGGAAGCCATGTTGAGCTTGTCACAGCTGATGGAGAGAGTAAAGATGGATTTATACCACTTTTGCACTGCTGAATTTTGGGAGCTGCCCAGGACTGGTCCAGCTCCAAAGTAAGTTTGAGCAGCTCCAGGGGCTATACTCTGGCCACAGCAATCCCCAAGGAACAGCCTTCTGTATATGTTTCTGTGGTCTGTTTACAGGGTCCTGCTGTGGCTCCTAATCTCTTGTAAACTGAAATTATTTCTGTCCAACTGAGATTGAGCTGGACTTCATCTGGGAACCAGAGGCGATGTGTGGAGGGTGGGGCATGCGGGGTCACATGCCCCCTCCAGATTTGCTGCTTGGCTTGTACTGAGCATGCTCAGTAACACTGCTGAAGCCGGCTGCCCTCACTCTGCCCCCCCCTTCCCCCCCCCCCCCCCCCCCGCCCCCGGCTCATCTCTACTCGCTGTCACACTAAGGCTTGGTCTACACTTACCCCCCAAGTCGAAGTAAGGTACGCAAATTCAGCTACGTGAATAACGTAGCTGAATTCGACATACCTTACTTCGAACTTACCGCGGTTCAGACGCGGTCCACACACGGCAGGCAGGCTCCCCGTCGACTCCGCGGTACTCCTCTCGTTGAACTGGAGTACCGCAGTCGACGGCGAGCACTTCCTGGTTCGATTTATCGCGTCCAGACCAGACACGATAAATCGAACCCGGAACTTCGATTGCCAGCCGTCGAACTACCCGGTAAGTGTAGACTAGCCCTAAGAAAATGGACCTGGGCTCTCAGGGAGACTGAAAGAGTAGGGCATGAGTTATCGTGTTTAAGTTAAGGCATGGGGGCCAAATGGAGGTGCGGGGGCAGAGGCCAGCCAGCCCACAGGTTCAATCATAACGTCTGACAACTTTTCACCTTTTGAGAGTTCTATGTCTACATCACTTGTTTTTATAAGAACAAATTAACTAACGTGGTAAAGGAGAACACCTGTTGCTCAGCCCACTAATGGTAACATTTGTAGGGGATGACATAATTCTGACTGAACAAAGTGAAATATTTAACATTAATTAAAAAAATCAAGTTCTGAATATTTGTTTTAGAACTTTATGTATAAAGAAAAAGTTCATCTGATCTAGAGCAAGCATTTGTTGCAAGGCTACCAAAATTATATGTAAACACAGCAAACATGGTTCTTAACGTCTGGGCTATTTTTCTTCCTCCTCTTTGATTTAAATGGGCATTTTAAAATGTAGGCTTATGGATACTTTGTATACCAAACTGTTTGTATTTTAATTTGCGATATTTAAAAAACGGATACTGTTGGACCCTCCTTGCTTTTGGCAGATCACTGCATCCATTTTCATGTTTACAATGTGAGGGAAGGATTTGTAGTGTTAACTTGTCCATAAGCTTCTCAAAGTTATATGGAAGAAAAATCAGTGTTTTGAAGATGCGAACATGCATTCCGTAAATTAAAATCTGCAGACATTGCATGTTTAAGCTTCTACACAATGACAAAAACATATAAACCTTTTTATAACTACCTAAAACCACTGAGGTATTGTACCAACAAAGTATACAAGCCCTTCAGTTCAGGGACAATTTACCCTGAGTGTATAATAGTCAGGAAACAATTCATGCTCTCTCCATATTTTCACCTTAGTTATGTTTGGTTTTGTCCTTTATAGATAACAGAATATGATTACCGTGAACAGGGCTTAATATTAACAGAAGAGTGTAGTGAAGACTGTTTGTCAGAAATCATGATCTGTTGCAGTTTGAAGGATTTTGCATGCTTGGATTTGAAGAAAACTAAAAACTGCAACTAATGTTTCTGAGCCTCCTGCTTGGGATTACTCTCATACCAAGAGGAAGACCAGCTCAGTTGTTTTTTTTTTTTTTCATCAAGAGGGTCACTGTGAATGGGAGACTGTGAGCAAAATTGGTGGAGTTCTTTTTAAAACTTTTATTTAATTGCAAATCTGATAATTGGGACCTGACACAACAATTAAGTAATAAAACATTAACTGAAAACATTGGACTAAATCTGTGATAGCTTGCATGTTTTTATAGTTAAACATTAGACAGCCTAAAATGAACCTGCATGGAAGAGACTTTTCATAATAAGCTTGCAGTAATGCTATCTAGTTTCAAGACTGTGTGTGTCTCCCCAAACTATTTATATTGTGTTACACAAATGGCAAGAGAATTGCAACAACATGTGATAATTATGTGGAAAGGAGCCTCTACCAATAGATGTTATGTACACAAATAGAGTGGGAATATACTGATGGTATGGTGCTGCTTCTCCAGTTTTCTGAGACAAAGCACTAGTGCACAGGAATAAGGCAAGAAGTTGCTGCACTTGACAGAGTAACTAGTCAAGCAAAAATGTCTGGCAAGGCTTTTTTTGTTTTTTTAGAAACTGTATGTGTATGGCCTGGCTGTGAGGATACAGCAAAGTTTAAATGTTTATTTTCAATATGTTGTTTGTATGGGCCCAGCTAAATAATGATGTGGCTCTTTTTCCTCTCCACAGCTTGTCTTCAATACACAAACAAAACTTGTGAAGAGTGCCTGAAAAATGTCTCAGTAAGTAGTAGAAAAACATATCATCTACTTCTTTTATGTAAGTGAACTTGCTGTTTCAACCTGTCAAAGGTTCAGAGTTTTGCGAAGCATCTGAAAAGATCTGTCTCGGCATTTTGAAGTGGGGAGCAGCCACTATGCCAGCTGACTACAAAGGGAGCTGCAAGTGCTAAGCACCTGTGGTGGTGGTTTGGTTTGGTTTTTAAATGTTGAATCCAAACCTTTGGAAAGGGTTCCTAAAGAACCTCGCCTTCCCCTGCAGGTTCTGATGTTCTCTGTCACATGCCTTGTGTGGATGACCTGCTGCTCCCCTCCAGTATTTTGAGGGACTGTTTGGAGTCCTGCTTTTCCTTTTGCCACTGTGTGGGTGCTGGCCAAACTGCCTCACTTCTCCAGTGGGCTGAGTGGATTGAGAGAACAGATCACAACAATCTGAGGATATGCTGGAAATCGAGTCTCTCCTCTAGCACTCCTAGACCCAAGTGGAATTCAGATGCGGGTAGGGGAAGTTATCAAATACCTCAGTTTTGAAGGTTTGGCTCTAAAAGTAGGAAGAATCCAAAGTTTTGGCTCTTTAATTCAAGTATAGAGGTAGTCTTACTGAAGCAAACTTTACACAATTGTGGAAGGCCTAAAAGTGACTGTGGGCCTTGATGACCTCCACCTGAAATGTCTTCTAATGACATTGTGGGTTTTTCTCTAACTGCCTACTGTCAGGGCTCTGATTTTAAATTGGCTTGCTGAGAAACTCAGAGTTAACATGTCTCTGAATTTGTACTGCTTATCGGATGAAGGTGGATGTTGGTGCAGATAGGTGAAACTTAGTGGCTCTGAGGCTAGGGAAAACCATACATTTATAGGTATGAAGTTGTCCCTTATACCAGTCAGTTCTGAGCTCAAATTCAGAGTTGTAATGTTCCCTAACTATGGGAAAGTAAGAAATTGAGAGCCTCCAGTGTTCTATGAAATGAAACAGTAAACACAAAAACAAGTTTATTCCTCATGCCTAGAAAGGCACATTGCAAGCTTTCCATTTGGGACATTTCTGAGTAGAATACAGTTGAGTCCTTAGTCTAACTGGGCCTTCCGCTCTCTTGTATCTTCTCTTGAAACTCTAACGCTTGATTTTTTTTTTTTTTTTTTTTTTTCTTCAGCATCTAGTCTATTACAAAGTTCCAACCAAGCCAAACCTATGTATTCAAAATATGCTCAATTGATGCTGAGCTGGCTATGCAGGAATTGTAGGTCTTATAAAAAGGATAGCTTTGAATTCAAAGCTATCATGTCTTCCACTACTTACACAATCTTCTCTCTTTTTTGATCCAGTAAACTGACATAACCTTTTTTACAAACTTTGAATAGGAATAGAAATAGAAATCTGGATCTGTTAATCCTTTTATAATAAGGAGTTCAGGATTACAATCCATCAGCCCTGTTTCTGCTTCTTCCACAATATAGATTTAGCCTAGAACTTTGTGGCGTCAGTGGGGATAATGGAAAAGTACCATGGCTTCTTTGCACTGTCTTGGCTTCGTTTTTGTGTGGCTCTGGTTATTTAGTTAGATCAAGCCAGACTTCTATTGAGACTGCAACAGCAGTGTCCTTAGCCTGTGAAGTCCCTCCAACATCTTCAGTTGCTGTTAAAAGCTTGTCACACCTCTGAAGAGTCCTTGTGCACAACATGTAGCATGTTTTGCCCAGTACCAATTTTAGTTGACTTGATGGAAAGTCCCCCACCAGAAGATAACTCCTCTGATAAAGGGGTGACAGAGGAGTGATGGGAAGAAACTCAATCCTATTTCCGGGCTCCAGTCGCCTGACCTCCAGGTGACAAAGGTTAATACCCCTAACACGTGACTGGGTCAGCATGCATAGGTTCCACTCAGCTGTGCTCTGGGAGACAACTATGTTGAATTTCTTTTAAGAAAAATGTCTAGTTGCTTCTGGGATTCTGCCCCTGGCTTTCATGAAAGGCAGACTATTCTAAACCCCACCCCTGGATTACGGAGATTTACCAGAACTACTCTGCCATCCTGTGGCTTCCATGTTCTGAAGAATATAATATCATATAATGAATTTAAATCCTTTATTTCTTTCTGGAAGGAGTTGTGCTTCCTTTATGAACAGCTAAGGGTCTGGCTACACTGCAGTCAGGAGACGTGATGAGAGCACCTGTAGGTGTACCCATCCTAGCTTTCATCAGGCTAGTTCACCAAAAAGTACCCTCTTTCCCCAAAAATAAGACATCCCCCGAAAATAAGACCTACTTCCAGTTTTGCCTCTCGCTGTAATATAAGACATCCCCCGAAAATAAGACCTCCCCGATAATAAGGCCACCCCAGAATATAAGGCCCCGAAGCTCCAGGAAAAATAAGACCTCCCCTGAAAATAAGACCTAGCGCATCTTTGGGAGCAAAAATTAATATAAGACACTGTCTTATTTTCGGGGAAACACGGTAGCAGTGAAGGTACAGTGGCTTAGACTAGCCACAAGCCCACCTGTGACCCTGATTATATATTTGGGTGGTCAGGTGACTAGTCCACACCACCACCTGTTCTGCTGTGACTTCACTGCTATTTTTAGCAAGCTAGCTTGATCGAAGCTAGGGAGGTACGCCTACATGTGCTGCCATCCTGCCTCCCCGTTGCACTGTAGACAGACCCTAAGAGGTCACTGAAACAGCAATGAAGAGACTCCCCCCCCCCCCCCCCCCCAGTAATGTTATGGGTCAGTTTTTCCTCACGCTCTGCCTAATAAACTGCATCTCTGATATAACCCAGCTTTTGAGCTGAGGATATTGTGGGAAATCAACCTAAAATACTATATCCCAAGAGGCTTAGAATAACACTGGGCATAACAATGCCGACACTTGCATTGCATAAAAGAACAATAAAAATCAACTCATCTAGATTACACTGGAAATCGGCTTTAGAGCTTCTTTACAATACAGTTAACTGCTGGAAAAATTCACTTTGCTGTCACAGTCCAGTCCTGATGCAGCTCTACGATCAATTTCCATCACTAATTATATCTGGTAAAGCAAGAAAGCTTCATTTATCTGGAGTATGTGAGAGGTCAGTAATTCTAACCTGCATCACTGTGGCTGAGTATTTCCTGATACTAGTAATCAAATCTTTGATAAGCTTCTCCTTAAACTCCTCATGTGATACACTTCCCATAGCAGCCTCAAATCAGATGATAGTCTTGTGAGTGCTCAAGTCTTTAACTGTATTGCCCATTGTTCTAGGATCGTAAGACTGAACATGAACACGATAGTTAATTATCTTGAACACAGTATTTTTTTTCTCTACAAGGGAGAATTATGAAAGCATTGTACAACTAACTGGCTAGTTCCTATATGAGGAGATACCAGTTGGTGCCCAGAATTTACTAACTGGGTGTTTTGGAATGACATCTGGGTTAGATTTGATAGGTGGGACAGATTTGATTCCCATATCTTCCATTCCCCCATCAAACAGTATAAATAGGTGTAGGTGTAGTCTTGGGTAGAGGTGGTGGAGGTACTGGTGTGAGTGGTAGCTGTGAAAACTTTTCAAACCTTGGTCTTAATGTCAACAAACTTGTTCAAGTTCCAGTTGTAGGGCTAAATTTTACCTTTAGTTAAAGGTTTAACTGAACTGGTTCTAAAAAAGGTTCTGTCAGACAAGGATCTGGCTATACTACAGCTCCAGATGTCTTTGAAACTGTCATCTTAGGCCTTGACTACACTGTAGAAAACATGGAACTCCATGATGCCACTTCTAGTCACTGTGCTTCCATTGGGGCCAGGGGAAAAGAGGACAGTCATACATCCCCTTCCCTCCCCAAAGCACCTGTAAAACACTGCCCACTCACATGCTTCCTGTTTCACAAGAATTCAAACTACCAGCATAACCATATTGGCTCAGACCAAGTCCTATAGTTGTTTTTGCTGGTATACTAGTGCTACCATAGGCCAGAAGCATAGGTGGCACAGCTCCATTGGCTCATTTGGTCTATCCTGCGCTATAAATGTTAAGAACCCAGCACACTTAGGTCTTCACCTCAATAAACAAAAAAGGCAAGTTCCTTTGCCAAAGAGCTCATCTAAATACAAGACAAGATGCAACAGTGTGGGTAAAGGATGCAGGGGAAGGGAGGATGTATGTTATTCTAAGGGCATGTCTTCACTACCCGCCGATTCGGCGGGTAGCAATCGGTCTATCGGGGATCGACTTACCGCGTCTAGTGAAGACGCGGTAAAATCGATCCCTGATCGCTCTGCCGTCGACTCCGGAAATCCACCTCGGCAAGAGGCGGCAGCGGAGTCGGCGGCAGCGCGGCAGCGGTCAACTTTCCCGCGTCCTCACCGCCAGGTAAGCCGACCTAAAATACGCAACTTCAGCTACGGTATTCACGTAGCTGAAGTTGCGTATCTTAGGTCGGACCCCCGCTGTAGTGTAGACCCAGCCTAAGATCACACAGTTACTCTAGGTATGTGCACATCTTACTTAACAGAACCCCCCAAAGCTGTAGATAAATAAGGAGCACTTAGTCACTGAGTTTAAGGCCAGAAAGGACCATCAGATCATTTAGTCTGACTTAATGTATAGCACAAACCACCAGCACCCATGTACTAAACCCAACAACCGAAATTAGGCCAGTATTACAGCCCATTACTTAATCTCCAGGTTTCTGAATGCGTTGCTGCGTGCTCTTTCTGTTCACTGTACCATGATTGCTCTGTCCCATAGTCCTGATTCCTTTCTTGTCTGGAGCTACTGCAGCTGCTGTAATCCTGAGCATATGGCTCCCATTTTATGAGGTAGTGTGAGCAACCCTGAGGCCTCTTTTTGTCCTTTTAAAAAAACAACTTGTAAATCTCCACTTTGCTTCAGCAACTCCCACAAACTTCTGCTTCGAAGAGCTGTGCCAGGACCTGTAGAGAAACTTCAAGAACTACTTCCCCCTAATCCTGTGATAGTTGAGGGGGAGTACTGTATGTGAAGATACTGAATCTGATAAAAGAAAAATTAGCTAGGGTGGACACTAACCTTTCATATTTCCCTGGTTCTGTAATAGTTATTGAATGCTTTGCTCATGAAACTATTTAGCCTTGTAGTCCAGAAAGCCTTTGCTTTACTGTCTACTGTTGACTGTGATTATTTGCATTTTAAGGGTTCTAATGATAACATTCCCCGTAGGCTCCAGGGAAAATGCTTTGTAACACCCTTATGTTTGGTATGAAAATCAGTGGCTTGCTTTCACTCATATTTGCTTTGGGATGAAAAGTACAAACGTTGCATATTAAAAGTTGACTTGCCAAACTAAGGGCTGGTCCACACTGGGGCAGGGGATACTAAAAATACTTACTTCAGGTCCACGCGGCACAGGCAGGCTCCCCCGTCGACAGCGCTTCCTCCTCTCGGCAAGCAGGAGTTCCGCAGTCGACGGGGGAGCGCTTCTGGGATCGATCTATCGCGTCCAGATGAGACGCGATAAATCGATCCCAGAAGATCGATCTCTACCCGCCGAATTCGGCGGGTAGTGTGGACCAGCCCTAAGTCTAAGTCCTGACTTAGAGCGACATTTCCATTTGTTTACAAAGTTTCCTCCCTTATTTATTCAACAACCTTCCTATAGGAAGCATATTTTAGCCTTTTATCTTACAAAAATGTACTGTAACTATTATAAACCCATAGCTATTTACAAAGCTTGTTTCTGGACAGCCTTAGTTGAGGCACACTTTCATACCAACAAACACCAGCAGCAAAGCATGACATTCATGACTTGCAAACTTCTTTTTCAAAAATGCAGATATTGAGCTTTCACCATGCCTCAGGAATCTGCTATTCTGTATATCCACAGCACAATGTAACCTAACACTTAACCATAGTAATCACCGTAACTATCTGTAGTCAAATACAGATTACTCTCTTCAGCCCTGTGCCCTTGAATATATTGGAATATGGTAAAGCATGTCATGCATTGTAGTTTGTAAACTTGCCTGGCTCTTTACAATGCTCTTAGCTTGAATAGCCTTTGCTACCTAATAGTATCATTGCACTCAAATAACTTTGCACTTCCATCTCACTTGCTTTGCTTCTCTTTCAGTGTCTCTGGTGCAGCAGCAACAAGAAATGCATGGATTATCCAGTTAAAAACCTTTTCCCTCCTCGTTCTCTCTGTGAGTTGAGTTCTGCACGCTGGGGAGTCTGCTGGGGTAAGTGGATTTTACTTTGTGATTTTGTGGAAAATGTACAGTAATTAAAAATGGGTGGCACCTTATCAGTTCAACAGCCTTTGTTGTTTGTACACTGGACGTCAGAGAAGGAACTTTCCCCAGGTTTCTCTAGTGTGATGCCACTATGTTTTAACAGAGATCCTAGCTATATCAAGCGTTCTCAAATACCACATCTTAATGCTGTGTGTTCTGGACCACCTCCTTTTCTGCGGTCAATAGAATAACTCGTGAACTACCTACCTACATAGAAAAGTAGTATTTGGAAAGCCTTTAATGTGATAGTAACTTCTTCATATGGTTTAGGGGCCGGAAACAAGAAGAACCAGGTCTCTGTAGAACATCAGCAAATGCTTGCTATACTACTGGTGGTCCACAGGCTAGAATCTGGGAACAGGGGCCACATTGTCCTCTTGCATGGTGAAGAGCAGAAGAGTGACATACAGCTAATGTTGCAAGATGAATGGTGACATACCATCTATACTTACTTTTTTTTTAAGGCCAGAAAAGACCTTTACTAGTATCTGGTTTGACCTCCTGTATAGCACTAGTCATAGAACTTCACTTTGTGATTGCCCATTTAGCCCAGTAATTTGTGGCTGAACAAGACCATATTCTAGAACAAGTTCTCTTTAACCAACAGAAGTTGGTCCAATAAAAGATATTACCTGAACCACTATATATGTCTGATATGGGATCCACAGTATTTCAGCCTCCCGTTCCTGTGGGTGCAAGCCCCTCTTCCTGCCCTTTATGCATTGGGCTGGCCCGTTTAACCAAGGGAATGATGTGGCACATCTGCAGGTATTTGGAGCTGTACAAGTTTTAAGAATGGCTTCTCCTCCCTTTTGTGTCCTAGTATATGGTAGGGATCTCTTCATTAAAGGTCATAGCAGAATTCATTCTTTAAAATGAGCCTGGATAGCTGTCTAAAAGATGCTCTAGTTCAACTATCTATTGAGTTAGATGGAGGAATTATGGGGTGAAATTCTCTGGCCTGTGCTATGCTGGGCAGACTAGATGATCATAATAGTCCCTTCTGGCCTTGAGTCTATAAATGAAGTTACACACATGCAGCAATCTTGAGGAGAGAGACAAAGATGCGTTGCCTCTGCATTGCCCAGTGAACCCAAACGTGGCTGATCTAGGTTTGTTCTCTGAGTCTCTTGTCTTATAAGCCTTTGCCTTTGTCTTTATTAATGTTTTAGTAGTGGCTACATAAAGAGCTATTCGCTGTTACATTAAATTTCCTTGAAGGAACTGAAGTGCCTTGTTAGATGTTTTTTGCTCCTTTAGAACAGAGTGCTCATTTGTTGTGTAATGGTTTCTGTTGTCACCAGCCTCGTGGGAGGCATCTGTCTTGGCCATGACTAAAATGCTAAGCATATGGGGAATCATAATAAAGAAATGTATACACAATTTTCCTAAATTCTAACAGGGTGTTCTCCAAGGACTGTTCCCTACCTTCTAATCACTTGCATTAAGGGACAAAACACTGTGTCCCTTCCTGAGTCTGATTTGTACAGCTCTGATCTTCGGCAGTTGCGTAGTAGGTGTGGTACATCCAATTCCATTTACTCCTGATGAGGATAGTTAAACAGTAAAACTTTACAGCATAGAGTGGAAAAACGAAGACAAATTGACTCTTTCCTGTCTGATACAGAGATGGAATCACAACCATAATATCTCGAGCACTGGCTTACAAACTTTGAGGGTATAATAAAAGGCGATGAGGGCAGAGCCTGGCAAACAGTGACTGATATTAACTTTTGATGAGTTCTGAGCAGGGGTGAATTTCATGCAGGTGTTTCAATTTCAGCTAGGTCCAAAAGCTCTGCCACTGAAGTCTACTCCTGTTTTAGGTAATACACTTAAAGGTGAGCGAATGGACCTCCGATCTGGGCTTGCAGGTTAAAGCTCAATGCCAGCTTGTGGTACACTGTCTCCTTGGCCCACCTCTGAAATGGCATTGTCCAGAGTTCTTGGGAAGACTATCAGTAAGAAATTAGCCTGAATTAAAAATAAGAAGGATATTTCTGCTAAATTAATCTTGAGGGATATTTAATTGAAACATATGAAATCAGTGGTTCTCAACCAGTGGTCCGGGGCCCCCGGGGGGGGGCTCGAACAGGTTTCAGGCGGTCCGCCAAGCGGGGCCAGTGTTAGACTCACTGGGCTCCAGGGCAGAAAGCTGAAGCCCTGCTGCATGGAGCTGAAGCCTGGGGCCCTGAGCCCCGCCACCGGGGGCTGAGGGCAAAGCCTGAGCAACTTCGCTTCATGGGAGCCCTGTGGCAATTGCACTGCTTGCCCTTAACGCCAGCCCTGGCTTTTATAAGCAGAAAACCAGTTGTGGCACAGGTGGACCATGGAGTTTTTTAGCATGTTTGGGGGAGCCTCAGAAAGAAAAAAAAAATTGAGAACCCCTGCATTAAATGATTTAATCTGCTGATGAAATTCCAGTTTCTAAAAACCATATCTGAACAATTAGTCTGAGCTTTCCAGCTAGGTATATTTGCCTTGAGCAACTGACAGGATGATAGAGATCTGGAAAATGTTGATGTTTTGTTGTCTGCTTACAGAACGTCTTAAATAAGACACCCTACCAGTCGTATGACTGAAATAAGACTGCTTAAAACTGCTTTTATAATTTAGCTATAAATTCTAACTTTAAAATTTGTGCTATTGCAATTTTTCAAGTAAGTTATAGCAACATCAATGACTTTGATATCAAGTTATATTTAAATTGCCTCACCCTACAAGCATACCAACTAGTTGGTAATTATTTCCACAGGAACCATTGTCTGACATCTCAGAACACATCAGTGTCTTTGCAAGTTCTTGATAGGTGCAGTAATAACTGTACACTTTAGATACTAGCTATGCTAGGGTTGCCAGTTTTGGTTTGGCCATATTCCTGGAGGTTTCGTTGGATGACATAATCTTTAGTTAAAGATTAATCTTTCAATTCCTGGAGATGCCAGGACAATCCTGGAGGGTTGGCAACCCTAAGTTATGCATAAGTTAATTGTATAACACCCCTGTACTGTGGTAGCCTTCCAGCTTGGGATGATTGTAGTTGACTGTAATATCTGTACTGCTTTCTACAGGAGAAAACAAAAAAAAAAATTGAAATAAATAGGTCAAACTAATATTTCTGACTTTTTAAACGCAACTAAGCTTCCAGAAAACAATGGCTTCTGTGTCATAACTCAAAGACCTCAAGATTGTAATTCTCACTTTCTTAACATCTTCATACGCTTTTGTACTTATAAATGTTTTGTTTGACTCTCAGTGAACTTTGAAGCCTTGATCATCACAATGTCTGTGGTAGGAGGAGTGATCCTTGTTGCTCTCTGCATCTGCTGCTACTGCTGTTGCAGAAAAAAGAAGAGCAAAAAGCAAGTATCTGAAAGTCTAATCCCTACTGTACAGCACTTTTAGAAAGTTACAAAACTTAATTAGATGCCCAAACCCTGGTGAATGCCAAACAGAGTCCATTGATGGTTGTTTAAGACAGTCTCTATTATTCCTGTCAGGCCAGACAAAGAAGATGAAAAAGCTGCCAGAGAGCGGGAACAGAGGAGAGTACGGCAAGAAGAGAGGTGAGTACCCAATGTGAGGTAATGGGATGGAGAAGGCAGAAATGGGTCATCTTCTGCTTTAAAATAACTTTCTGTAAACAGATCAACACACCTCTGTCTTGATATTGTAGAAGTGGGATGCTATAGTTCAGTCTTGCTCAAATTGTAAAATATTGATCTCCTGTATATTTACCGGGCTCCTAATAACATGGGGAGGTTGGTAATTTAAATGTACCATCACGTACACAGTCCTAGGTATCCGCATCCAGACTCAATCTCAACATCCCCATGGGCAATAAGATGAGGGGCTCCTTTGGTGACAGCAGTGGGAGTACTTAGCCATTGGAGAACCTAAAAATGCTTCCCAGTGCTAGGTCTCAAAGGGACATATGACTTTACTTCCAACCAGCAATCTGTGCAACTGGATTAAAAAAATTCTGTGTATTGTGTGTGTAAATTTCATTAGTGAGGCCCTGTTCTTCTGGTTAATGCTTTAATCTTAATGTAATATTATCAAGCATCTCTGGAGACTACTATTTCTATAGGTGACTGGTTGAACTTGTTAAATTAAAAGTATGTTGTCAAGATACATAAACTTGGGAAGATTTGAAAACATTGATTTAACATACTAACTCATTAGAACGTGAAACAGTTAGTTCCTTTTAGAGAGACAAGGTAGGTGAGGTAATGTCTTTTATTGGACCAACTGTTGTTGGTGAGAGAGAAGCTTTTGAGCTTACACAGATCTGTCTCACAAACACAAGCTGATCCTGTAAAAGATACTACCTCACCCACCATGTCTTCCTAATTCCTGGGACCAACTGCTACAACATCCTGGGACCAATGGCTGCAACAACACTGCATACTTAGTTCTTTTAACAGTTTTTTATAATCTGTTTGTACTGTAACTATTTCTGATAGGTTTCCACTTGAGTCCTGGGTTGCTGCATTTGATGCGTTTTTTTTTTTTCTTTCTTTTTTTTTTTTCCCCATGACGGCCTTTGGGGAGCAGGGAAACACAACCTGTATGCAGACTGGTAACCGTCTAACCCTATGTATAAATATAAATAAATAGGTATATCTCCATATATTATCTCATAGAACTGGAAAGGACCCTGAAAGGTCATTAAGTCCAGCCCCCTGCCTTTACTAGCAGGACCAAGTACTGATTTTGCCCCAGATCCCTAAGTGGCCCCCTCAAGGATTAAAATCACAACCCTGGGTTTAGCAGGCCAATGCTCAAACCACTGAGCTATCCCTCCCCCCATGTATGTTGGCTCCAGAAACGGGTACTTCGGAGGAAGAAGTATAGGAAGAGACAGATTAAAAACAAAAAAAAAAAAGTGTAAGGTAATGAAGTTAAGTCTCATTTAATTTTTTTTGTAGGAGAGCTGAGATGAAATCTCGACATGATGAAATCCGGAAAAAATATGGTAAAATTCATGAGAAGTGACTTTCTTTTTCAAGTGATTCTTCAAATCCATGTATTGCACTAAAGTACTTATGATACCTTGCTATAAACAAAACATTGACTGCATGACTAGTGGGGAAGACTAAGACAAACCATTGTCTTCCCTACCACCAAATAATCAGTTGCACTTTAGGGAGGAACACAACAATGCAGTTACAGTGAACACTTCAGACACAGCCCTTTCACAGTGCCAGATAGGAACGCAGGTCAGCTTGTTCTGTATGTTGTTTTTTCTGCTTTCCTGGGGTTTAATTGAAATCTGCCAAAACAAAGGTGAGGAGGAAGCTCTGAGATTCCAGGCAGGATGCGTGATTAAAAATAACGCAAGCCAAAGGATACAACCTGTCAAGCCAATGGGCCCGATACTCTTCCTTCAAGAAGTGGCACCTTACTCCACAATAATTCTGTAGGGTCAGATTCTTCACCTGCAGTGAGGTTGGGGGCTGTCGGGGAACTGGTTGCATGTGGGGGAATTTATTCAGTGGTCATCTCTGGCCACTGTGTGAGGTGTGCAGTGGGTTTAGCAAAGACTGAAATTGCAGCTGATTGACTCCAGGCGGAATGCGCATGTGAGTAACAGTGTACCCAGTGAGAGTATGTGGCTCACAGCCTGGACCAAAGGGAGCAGGTGACATCAAGCTCTCATCCCTTTCATCCTCTTGTGCCATGTGTCTGTAAACCCTTATTCCCTCTTTGGAGGGGTTCCTTGTGGCTGAAGTGAGGGAAGAGATCCTGGAGTGGGTGAAAGGAGGTGAGAGGAGGGTGAGGGCCATAATCTGAGAGAGTGAGGTTGGGCAGTTGAGGGAGCAGCAGCCAATGGTAGCAGAATAAACAAATACCTTGAGTCCATGTTTCAGAGTTGCCTTCACAGCCTGATGTTCAAGCTGTTGCCCTTGGGTGGGGTGGGCAGGGAAAGCCACTGGGCCCTGGGTGGGTCCCTCTTAGTGCAGCCACAGAGAGGAGGCTGAAAGGCCTTGACTTGCCCTTACTTGTAGCTGATGTTGAACTGTAGAGGATGAACTCTGTGGATATGAGGACTTAAACTGTCTTCTACAAAGTCCTCTTGCCTGCTGTCCCCATTCCTCTTGTGGAATGAGGGAAGAGTTGATGAGGCTGCTGGGCCTGATGCTTTTGGGGAAGGAGAGGAACCGGAAGGCTCTGTTTAGCCAGTAGCTATTGCCATGAGGAAGTCTGTGCTGTCTTCATGCTCTGGCCTGGTCCAAAGCCCTGCTGCACAGCTCCCAGGATGTGAGCAGCTCTCTCCTGTTACACTCAGTGGTCCGTGTGCTCTGTCTTCCTATGATTAGGGATGGTGGGGGAGCTGGTGCTGGCTGCTTTGGAGAAAGAAGCCTTGGGGGCACAGCAGCCTGACAGCCTTTGGGAAGGGGCTGTGGTAGAGCTGGTGACTCCTTCCAGCTGTCTATGAAAGGTTAACAATGCAGAGCTTGTGTGCAGACTTTTCCTTTTACATCTTTCAGGAAAGTGGGGTGGGGAGAATTACTGCAGCTTTCATTTAGCCAGACCTCTCATTCAGAACACACTTCTTCTTTTAATTCCAACCTTTACCAAAAAACACTTTGATCGGCCCTATGCTTGAACTTCCAGTTGTTTTCTTAAACATCTTTCAAAGAGGAAAGAGCCAATACATGACTGACCTTTCTTTCTTTTTTGTTTTGTTTTTTGTTTTGTTTAAGGAGAAATTTGCCACTGCTTTACACAAACATCTTAGTATGGAATTGGGTTCTGTTAGACTTGCAGGGCAGAAATACTTAAATGCAGCGTTCATTGTTTTGGGTATAAGTGCTACCACTTCAATGTCTACCTGATTTGCGAGCACAAATGTATAACTAAATGATAGCATTTGCAGTGCAAATAATTGAGTCCCTTTTGAAAATCAAGCCCGTACAGTCCTGCTCAGAGCCTCAGGTATTTACACACCCAATTTCCATTGAAATCAATGGGAGTTAGGCTTCTAAATACCTTTGGGGGCTCTAAACCTTTAAAGATGGGAGGGAAACTGTGTACTGAGTCATAACACTTGCATAATACCAAAAGCAGACTTGGTATTGAGTGAAGAAACGCTTGATTTATTTCTAAGATCAGAGTGCACTCAACTTGTCTACTCTTCTCCCACCCCCACTTCCCTTCCAATCCTGAAATGTATTACTCTAACTGGAGCTTTTTTCTTTTCAGGCTTGTTTAAGGAAGAGAACCCTTACGCCAAATTTGAAAACTAACTGGTCTTCCTAGAAATACCACGCAACACCAAAGCTCCTCTACCTTTGCCAACTGGAGCTTTACAGTATAGGCTTAGAGACTTTGTATTCCAAACACCAAAAAAATAAAATTACTGAGATGCTGCGATAGCCTTAAATTGCCAAAGACTGTCATGTGCTTCAGTAGAAAGCTTTGTGCTAACTTGGGACAGAGCCTACTGTAATCCCAATGAGCTATTACGAACAGCGAGACTGAACCAGAAAGAACCTGACTTTACCTCAAGACATTCTAACACAGCTCAACAGACTGTGCAGCATTGTCTGGGAGTCCATTTTAAATCTTTGCTATTTCTGTTGTCTGACTTGCCAGACGCTTTGTAATGCAATGGCTTCAAAGAACAGCTCATTGAACCAGTCTTGCCCTTCTGCCCTACTCCTTTCTTATTCACCAAATAAAGTAAAGCTTTAAATCTGAGGGCAGAGCAGGACTGGGGCAGGGGTGGGGGGTAGTTTGGTCCTACATAAGGTATAGCAGCAATTCAGAATATCAGGGTAGATGAATAAAAGAAGACTTCTTAGATCATCAAGGCCTTAACTGTGTCACTTGAAGTGCCTGTACAGTTGTGTGTTACACAAATTGAAAGAATTGCTGAGTAAGTTTTTTTTAATTATTCTGAGGAGGGGGGAAGGGAGTTTAGGCTGAGCATCTACTCATTGAGAAGTGCAAATAATTCTCCTTTCAGAATTCATTTTGTTTAAAAGTCTATCCTACCTTTGTGCCTTTCTATAACTTCTCCTATAATAAAAGTAATTCAAGACTGATATTTTGTAACAATATAAGACTTAGATGTAATACTAGTATTTTGATCCATTAGATAAAATTATAAATAGACTGTAAAGCTTCAGCAATATTGATTTGATTACTCTAAGCCTGATTGACTGACTGACTTTTGCTTCAATGCAAAGTATAATTTGTTTTCAATAATGTGTTGGCAAACCCATGCTGTAGCTGACGCAGCATATAATCTCTAAAAGAATGTTCTAATAACCAAACGGTCAGAAATATGAAAGCCTTTTCATACTGCAGAAGCAACTGTGAAGCCTTTTGGTTGAGCTGCAATGTGGCCTATGCTCTGCATTTAATATAATCTGCTGTCCTTGCACGTGTAAGTGCAGTAGCCAGCTTTTCGGGTAGTTCTGCATTGTCCTAGGCACAGCAGCCTGGAATGTTGCCTGGTGCCTTAGGGCTTGAGCCAAGGTGCTATAATAGTTACTAATCTATGTGTTGAAAATGCCATAGAGAAGTGGAAAGATGGGATGAAAACAGCTTATAGGGGATGGGTTTTAGTCTTCTATGAAACACTCAAAATATATCAAATAACTGACAACATTGAGAGCAGACAGCTGGAAGCAGTTGCTGTTTTTCTCTGAGACACACTTCTGAACAGGCGCGGCAGCTTGATTTTTGAAATGTTTGAAAGTGTTTTGGGCACATGAAACAAAAACAAATGGTGGTAACATTCATTGTTACATTCCAGACCATCTCCGAATTTTCTCAAGTCAGGGGCCAAGTGTCAATTAATATACAAACCAGTCATAAACATTTTGATGAATGTTGAAATATCAATTTTGTTTTCCAGGGGCGCCATTTTTGTGTATAATACTGTGTAAAGTCTTTTGAGTAAGACACATCTGCCCTGAAAATTCTGCCTGTTAGAATGGTAACTTGGGATCCCTTTCCCTGCAGACTTCTAAAAACTAACCTGGAGGTGATATTTCAGTACATCTGGGATCTTGTAATATTGCTGGGGACTTCTTAAAACACTTTGTCATAATGTCACACACTTATGGCTCTCTGGTCTCCTAGAACAACATAAAAGCCAAACCTTGGAGCTGAACTTCGAACAGACTTTCAAAACTAATCCATCGTGTGTAAAAAAACCTTATGGACGTTGATGGGCTTGAAGTGCACAGTAGCGCTGAGCTGTGTAAAGCTCTTCTACATACTAGTAAGATGTGATTTCACTTCCACTAACACTGGACAGAATGGGCACAAGAAACTTGCATATAGTCTTTAATCTGTACACTTTTTTTTTTCTGCCTTCCTTTCAGCAGTTTGCAGACAACTTTAGGCAAGGAACCTATAGCTAATATTTAAATGCATTACTTGGCTAATGCTAAATAAACAGATTTAGTAAATATAAATAGTGTACCATATGTGTTTCCTCTTTATGATAAACTACAGTGCTCCTTTTGGTATTGCCCTCTTTAAAATGGCATATTAAAGAAAAGGAGGTTGATGTTCTCTGGCTTATTTAGATGTATACATGTTTGGTGAAAAGGAGCATCGCTTCTTGGATAGTCTAAAATATACAACCCTAAATTACCCTAACCCCTGCTCTTGTTAGTGAAAAGTTAGTTGCTGGGTGCAGCAGGGTCAGGTGTGATATCTTAACAAAAGAATCATCTGCTGCTGCTCTCAACAAAGTGACAGTGCTTTGGAAAAGCTCTGTCACTTGCTGCTAGGAAGAATAATTGAAAGCTTCCACTGTCTTGTGCTATAATTCAGTGCAACGAGTCTTAATTTGGAGGTGTCAGAAACAGGTCGGGGTTGTGAAACTTCTGGAAGACATTCTAGTGCTCTGATAAAGCAACCTTCCTTCAGTGCCAAGTAAACCTATCTCGTCTGACTTAAAACCTATGGAGCCCTATATGCCATGATGGCAGCTGAAATTGGTTGTGAGGGAGCCCCAAGACTTGAATTTATGGAGGCCAGAGGTAAGGGATTATCGGATAAGGATCTCCAGGTCTGGTGTTCACATCCCCTATTAGTCAGACAGAGACAGTCTGACTTGCATGTTCCTGGACACAACCTTGGGAATTTCTTAATATGTGCATGGGTTTTTTTGTTTTTGTGGGGGAGGGGAGGGTTTGAATCCCAATATGGGGCTAGGAAGAGCAGGTATGAAAGTGCCACTTGCTGCCTGAGGTCTGCAACAGGGCTGCCCCTTTCTTTGTTTGAGGTTATGTTGTGTGGGGGGTCTACCCACACTGGTAAGGGGTTCTTTTATGGCTTACTCTGTAACTGCGGGGCCCTTGTGATGTGCAGCTATGGTTCAGACCCCTGACACCAGTAGCCAGCCCACAAGCATAAGGGCTCACCCTGGCATCCACCAGCCTAGTTACTCCTTCCAGGGTGACACCAGTAGCCCTTCAGTCCTGGGTCTCCCCAAATCTGTCTACCCCAAGTTCTTAACTACTAGCCACTTGGACTTTTCCCGTCTGGTTCATTACCCCAAAGGTGTGAAACCAGCCCCCATGTTCTCAGTTCACTTTGGTGCACACACTCCACAGTGTTTGCACACCAGAGAACTGCTTGGAGTAAAAACAAAGTTTGTTTAATAGAAAAACCACAGCTTCAAAAACAAGAGTAAGGGAAAGCAAACATAGACAAGTTACACAGAAAATGACAAAGATGCTACTTCAGGCTTTACACTTTCAAGTTTAAATAAAATCCCTTTTCTAATAAAAGTTGCCCATTTCCTTAAAACTATTTCCTAGCATGCCCTTTACCCATAGGAGGAATCCAGCGGTCACTGGCAGCCTCCTACCTCAAATTCTGGATTTAAAAAAAAAAAAATCAGATGCAAGCCTGCTTTAGAAAGGCTTTTTTTCTTTTAGACCATGATGATCCACGTTCCTTCAGAGTGGAAACTCTTGACTCAAGAGCTGGGATACTCAATGCCTTTCCATTAACTCCTATGGCCCTTACTTATCTCTTCCTGTGCTGAACAATGTTAGTTGGAGCTAGTTTCATGTAAATACCTGGCTTGCAATGTGCCCCTTGCTGCTGGGAGGTGGTTGAAATGATGAGCATGATTTTCTAGATACACTAATACCTAGATCCATAACCACAGTCTGCATGCATATCTTGTAATGACCATCCTGTTTAGAACATTACAAGCTTTCATAAAAGACCTTCCTCAAAACACTTTGCATACTGTTGTTGTACTATATCAGTTAGTTCAACTTGCTCATTTTGGGGGTTTAAACTTACTGTTCTTCCCTTGGGTGGCTAGAGCCTGATTGTCACAGAGGTATGTGGGAAACAAGTTCTCTTCTGGGAGGTGTCGAGTGGTGTAGGGGGAGGGATAGCCAACCATTGTCCACTGTACCTTCATGCGTTGGTAAACTTAAGCTTTGTCTACACACAGGGAACTGGCTGGTATAGCTACTCAGTATAATTTAGCAGCTTCGCAGGCAGCAGTATGTACCCAGAGCCAGGCCGAGCAGGGCTAGCCTATGCTGCCATGGTGTCACTCTATTGTTACTCAAGCTAGCTTTGATCTAGCTAGATTAAAATGTTGTGGTTTGTGAATTGCTTGTCCCTAACACTGTTAGTGGAAAAGCTCTCCTTTGTCCATTGATCACTGGAGGGAAAGGACTACAGTCTCCTCCATTTTATTAAAAAAATCAACTAACCTTTGCTCCTCTTCATTAGTTTGTGACCATTATTTACTGGATTTGTTTCTTCCATTTGTTTTTTTGCTACAATGTAAAGCAAGTAAATTTTTCAAATTGGGCTTTTTGTTTGTCATAATCCAGAAACCTGCTAATTTACTTCAAATTTGATAGAGTCCATATCTCCCCTCCATGCTTAATCTAGCAGCATTGGGGCCTGTGTTCCTTTGATGCTAGAGAAGCTGGGAATGGGCAGCATCAAGCTTATAAACTAGCCACTCTTGCCTCCTCACCTAGGGCTGGGCATTCTTGTTCATATCCAGCTATCAAATTGTTATGGCACTTTACAGGCAGAATACAAAGTGCGTGTCCTAAGGAGAGTTCATGCTAATATACAATTCATGACCTTGACAGTGAGGGTGGAGGAAGATTAGAGTGGCAGATATACAGGTTCAGGAGACAGATGTGCATGACTCATGCATTGGGCACGCCTCCCCAGATATCGGGCATGTTCAGAGACAGAGAGAGACACTTGCCCCCCTAACACTTTTTTCCTAGGGGACGGTGAACTGGCCTAGGAGCCAGGAGATGAGGATTGCTGGTTTTACCTCTGCTACTGAGCATTATAAATGATTTTTGTGTGTGTGCCATTCATAACTCTTATTACTGACCCAGGCTGCATCTCCTTACCCTGGGAGCCTGGTGAATCTTACAAACGAGGTGACCTTTGTCCAGCCCGTTATTTCAGCCAGAGCTGCAAATAGAACCCAGGTCTCTAACTCAGTGTGATGGGGTGTATTAACCGTGCACTGTTGGTGGAGGGGTTAAGGAAGCACTCTGGGAAAGGCTGGCCCCACCTCTTCAGCCCTGTCAGTCATGTTAGGGTGAAATAAGGGCTTAAAAGTTCTCGGTGAGAGGAGACAGTAGCTGTATCACTCCTCGGGATTTTTCAGTGTCCAGACAGTAGGAGGTGCCCATCAGCACCCCAAGAATTATGACACCAGTCACACAGCTTTTGAGACAGCATGTACCTGGTGTGTGCTTGGCTATCTGGTCTGGAAACACTCAACCATGTTCTGTTCTAGAGCCCAGTCCTGTGATCTCCACCATTCCATTGGTGCCTCCTAAAGTGGTGTAAAACCACTAAAAAAGAGTGACGTGTGTCTCCCTCT